GTTGCCTCCCGAGAAGCGCTTCTTTTTTAGGAGTCTTGAGCTGGACTTCGTGCCTCCTACGTTGAATCATATGAAGAGTCCACCACTAGGATCTTTTGTTCCTTGAAACGCCTCTTGTAAGCTTGAACACGTCTTTTATATGCCTTTTCGAATTTTCCTTTTTAGCTTTGAACTCATCTCCATCAAGCTTGCGTTTGGTCCCTTTAGTCTCTATCTTGTCTTCATACTTACACTCCATAGTATCCTTTTCTTCCTTTACCACTAGACTTGTTATTTTTGATGTAACCTCCTCTTCATCAATCGTCATCTCATCATCTTCCTTTCTTACCCAAGAAGTTGGATTCGTGTAGGCAATGACTTCAACTAAAAATGGAACAAATGCTCTTGGTTTTGTTCTTTTAACTTGTTGAAATTTTTTGATTTCTTCTTCCATGAGCTTCTCTAATTCTTCAAGTTCATTTTCTTCATCAATGTTGAAAACCTATTCTTGAGCATGATTCCCTTGAAATCCGTCTTCTATCCCCAAAATTTCCTTTTCATCACTAACCCTCAAGGCGAGCTTAGACTCCCGAATATCAACAAGAGCTCCAGCAGTGTTAAGTAGCGGGCGACCAAGAATAATCGATACATTGGGATCTTCTTTCATATCCAATACCACAAAGTCTATTGGAAAAATGAATTTCCTAAATTTTACTAAAATATCTTCCACAATGCCCCGAGGCTGTGTCACTGAACGGTTCGTCGTGTGAATAGCCATCTTTGTAGCCTTCAACTTCTAAATATTTAGTTTTTGATAAAAACGAATAAGGCATCAAATTTATGCTAGCCCCAGAATTGGCTAAAGCATAAACCTTCATATTATTCCCAAACTCACATGGGAGAGTGAGTCGTCTAGGATCCCCCATCTTCTTAGGTATTTCTCCCAACACAGCTTTTGAGCTTTGCTTACTTAGAATTACCTTAGAATTCTCCTTTAATTGTTGACGAGTGTCTAACAAGTCTTGTAGGAACTTATCATATTCTGGAATTTTTGCAAGTGAATCAATAAAAGGAGTATTGATAGGAATACCCTTTAATTGCTTGATAAACTCCAAATGTTCTCTCTCCAGTGGACTGAGATTAGCTATAGACGAGAATGGAAAAGGCGGTTAAAAAGTCGACATGGTTTATGGAATTTTCTGATTAGACCAAGGCCACGACGTGGACATATAATTCCCACGACGTGGTTTCTGTACTTCAGCTACATTTTTGTTCTTGAATTTTGGCTTCTTTGGTTTTGGATCGGGGTGCTGGGGCTCCACTTCCAAGGCCTCTAGGAACTCAGAAATCGCCTCTTCTTCAATATCTATGGCCAGTACGTGAGATTGGGTTTTGTTTTCAGGATTTTTCGGGAATATCTTCTCATTAACCAAAGTGTTAAGTTGACCAAGTTGTACTTGAAGGTTATTGATGGAGGCTTGCTGATTCTTTATTAATGCTTGCTGATCTATCATCATTGCATGATGATTCTTTATTATACTTCTTTGTTCTTCCATTGCAGCATGAGTAGCATCATGTCTTTTTCTGAAGCTTCCATGAATTTCATCAACATGGTCTCTAACTATGATTTCTTCTCAACTAGTGGTTCCTCTCTTTAGTAGAAGCCCCAACCAGTTTGCCTAAATTTCTCTTCTTTTTGCTTCTTGTATTCTTCGTAAGGCAGCCACTCTTTCTTTGGTTTTCTCCAATCTTCATCATACTTGTCCCCACTTGAGTAGCATACTTGAGCTTTCTTGTTTCCATATTCATCCATATTACAATCCTTTGTCAAGTGTGGGCCACTACATCTCTCACAACCAACTCGAATTGCATGAATTGATTGGTCCAATTGAGTCAATATCCTATCCATAGTGCTAAGCATTGCCATCACGACAACCATCTCTTCAGTTTGTGTACCTCCACTGCATTTTATTCCATCACGCCCTAGGTTGTGATACTCACGAGAGTGCCTTGAAAACTCTTCAATCATCTCCTTGGCCTGATTTGGGTTCTTCTTCGTTAGTGGTCCTTGAAAATCAAGGAGTTGTCTAGTCATGACATTCACCCAATCATAAAATATCAACATCTCCTGCTGAATATTGAGGTCATGTTGCGCACAATTCCTTAACAACCCCTTGTAGCGTTCCCATGCCTCATATAATGACTCCCCTGGATTTTGCTCAACGTTGGCAATTGTCTTCTTGAGTTTAGAGATTTTGGAGGGTGGACAAAACTGATCTAGAAATCTCTCTCACAACTGGGCCTATGTGGTGATCGTACCAGGTGGGAGTGAATTCAACCAGTCTTTTACTGCTCCCTTGAAAGTGACTAGTAGCATCCTTAGCAAAGCTATCTCCCTTGGGATATTGGGATTATTAAAATAATTTGCAATATCATTCACCTCGTCTAAGTGTTTGAAAGCATCCTTGTGATCCTTCCCGTAGAATGGGATATCCTTAAGTGCAGTAAGGATATGACCCTTCACCTCGAATGTGGCATTGGTAGGAATCGTAGGATGTACTAAACCTGACCCCACATCATCTCGAATGCGCTTCTTGTAGTCCCCCATGGCCATCTCATCAATGTTTTCCATTTCGTTCTCCAGCTCGTTCTCGGGCTCACTTGTATGTAATTCAAATTCAGGCTCAGTATTGTACGCGGACTCGGCTTGGATGGGTATTTGATCTAAGTGTTCAAGCTTGCTCTTGTTCTTTGAAGATGAACTTGACTCCTCCGTTTTCTTCCCTGACTTCTTTCAGAACACTGATTTGAATTCTTGTAAAGGTGTCTTCTTTGGTGTTTGATCTTCTTTCATGCTCTTATCCTTCTTTTTGTGAAGTGTAAAGTTGGGATCTTCAAGTGGTGGTACCAAAGGTGTGTTAGAACCTCTGGTCATGAACTCCTGAAATAAGACAAAAAGATAAAACGTAAAACTAAACTAAGAAAAAAGAAAAAAAACTGTGAATAACAGGTGTCACTTCGTGGAAGGATAATCCACGTCGTGACTTCTGTAATGAAAAAAAATTTAAACTATGCTTATAAAAATAACTTTTTGTGGGTTTTACCCCACAAAAAGGATCGATTAATCTAAAGCAAATAAATAAACAATAAACTAAGCCGTTCCCCGACAACAGCGCCAAAAACTTGATGTGCACGGAAGTGCCCACTAATGGTAAGTATAGTGAGAAGACTCACCTTGGATGACGAACAACCCCTATAAACGCTGCTGTTGCACACCGGCCTCTATCTCTGAGCCAAACCCACAATTAACCCAATTAGGAACTAAGTCCAAACTCTCACTCATTAGGTCTAAGGGTAGTCCACTAATCAGCCAATCCATAACCAAAAACCCATTGGGCCCACCAACGCCCAATAATAAATGGGCTCTCCCGAGGCCCAACTCTCAAGTTCAAGTGGCAAGCCCAACTCAAGGGCCTAAGGCGCATATATATATATATATATATATATATATATATATATATATATATATATATATATATATATATATATATATATTCCTCTGGTCCAAAACTCCAGTGCAATAAGCCTAACCTCAAGGCCCAACACTTAAGGCCCAAAATGAGACTTAGCGAAAAAGCCCACAGTGGGGTTACGTGGGACGTACCTCCCTTGGTACGCTCAGCGTACACACGAATCCAGATTGGCCATCGGGGACATTTGGTCAATACGCGGGGCGTACAGGAATTACGCTCAACATACGTCCAGGTTTGCTTTACCTACTCCTTTGGTCTTAACCCGTTAAGACCTTAACTAAAATCCCAGATCTGGACTCCCTAATGGCTCTTAATCCATAAAGCTTGTGACTTTAAGCCTTTGCATGGCTGAATTGGTCACAAACACATAAAACCCTCACTCTCTTAACTCAAAATGCTCATATCTCATGCATGGTTTGATCCCAACGTCCAAGTCTTGATTTTTATGACACTACACCATTGAATGCACTCAAAGGGGGTTGATCATAGTCTCTGGAGCTCAATATCTCATAAAGTGTCCAACTTTTGGGACAAAAACCCTAAAATACTCTACTATGATGCATAAATCAAAAGAGTGAGAAAGCTTGAAGCTTTATACCTCTATATGAAGCTCCCAACACATATATGCTTAGATGCATGGGCCTGGATGCTCACTCCTTCTTCTCTAAAGCTATTTCTTCACTCCAAGAACAAACAAAATCACTCAAAGGCTCTCAAATGCACTCACAAGCTCTATGAACGAAGCTTTAGGGTTTAAGAGGGTTTGTTGTCTGAGGATGGTGGTCAGGAATGAGGCCATCTTATTCTTTATATAGGGACACCCCCCTCATTTAGGGTTTTCACTCTGAGCCTAGTACGCCCAGCATACCCTCTAGTACGCCCAACGTACTAGGTGGCTCCGCTTAAAAGTCACGCACATGAGTACGCTAAGTGTACTCATACGTACGCTCAATGTACTCAGTTGCCACCATTCTCAAATAAGGGATCTGTCTTGACAAAACTTCAAACTTCCATAGATACCTTGATATAACTCCGTTTCCTATGAACCTCATATCCACGGAAAGGTGACAATAAGCCCTACGCTTCTAGCAACTTGTCGTAGCCTTGAGGCTTCCTAATGCCCGGGTTGCAGCCCACGAACCCAAATCACGGACGATCCAAAACAGGATGTTACAATACAAGTCAATGGAGTATAGCTCAATAGTAGCAACTATGCGATGCCTGAAGCACACATTAGCTGATTAACGCAAACCCTAGAATAAGGGAGTGTGTAGAAACGAATTGTAGTAGAATAGCTTGTCCTTAAAGATACCACATGACAATTAAAAATATGTGTATACATACAAAAAAATGGAAAAGAACACTTCCATGCCAAATACAAAACAAAATGCACAGGTTATGGTTATTAAATACCAACATTTTTTACTATACACATAGTACATAGAAAGGCAACTACAATACACAACAAACAAAAGGGGAAAACAGAAATTATCCCTCGGAGTCTGAAGAAGAACATCTCGGATTCAGCCTCCGAAAAAATTGGCAGAAGTCGTCATAATACAGCTTCCCCCAAATGAAAGAGGGTTGTGAAATCCGTCTCAGAAGGGACGATATAGCGGTATCCACCTCTTCAGCCCTTCTCACAACAAGGCCAGGATATAGGACTTCAGGTTCTCCAACACTTGTGGAACAACCACCTAGTTGCTTCCCCTTTTCAAGCCCAAGGGCCTCACATGCCTCACGAATACCCTGGATCCTGCTGGGAAATTCCACGCTCTTGATAACTTTATCAATTACATGAACTACCCCTTTCTCCAGTATCCATTGCAAACCACCTCGATCAATAGCACCATAAACACGAGCACGGGCCAGTTGATGTTGGCACCTAGCTTGCAAGTCCTCTCTGACTAGTCCTCTAAAGTGGACACATGATCCTCCAAAGCGGCCTTCTCGCAGGCCATAATACAGTTTTGCTCAGAAAGAACTTGGCGCTCAGCCTCTGAATCATGGATTTCCTCCATCATGACCCTTCTTCCGAGTAAGAGAACTCACCTAGCTTGCGATTCCTCTCTAACTGGTCCTCCAAAGTGGCCACATGATCCTCCAAAGAAGGCTTCTCACAGGCCACAATACAATTCTGCTCAGAAAGAACTTGGCACTCAGCCTCTGAATCACGGATTTCCTACCTCATGCTTGCCACGACACCTTGCAGTACTTTCAACTGCATCTCATTCGCACCGACGCGGCGAACCCAGTCAGTAGCAGCAACCATAAGGGAAGAAGTCTGATCTGCGACCTACACAGGTTACCAACCATACGAGCACTTGATTGACCCGCAAGAGAACTCATTGTTTTCGGGAGATGAGCACACCTACTCCACTCCTGGGCAGCGATGTCTTCTGATAGTAAGGAATCTCTAGTAATCGCCCAGCCCAGAGCATAAGACCCAAAAGATAGGGAGTGATACGGAGTTCCTACTTCGTCAACCAGGGAAGGCTTCTCGCGCTGGAAAGAACCTCCAGGAGAACTCGACACACGCCCAAACATAGAGTCGGTATCAAGATTAACCAAGGGTGAACACGCAAATGGAAAGGGTGATGCCTCTGTAGAACCGGGCACCACCACTATCTCTTTCTGCTCAGGAACAGAAAAACGATCACTCAGAACACCCCTGATACCACCAACAAGCCTGGTTAAAGACACAGTCCTACGTGCCCTGCGAGGAAGAAGACCTGCATCATCAGATTCTGTCTCCTCGTCTGACGACGGCACCACGTTCAAACTTTTCCTTTTTCGAATAGGAGCATTACCTCTTTTTGGTTGTACTCATGTAGGCAAACCAGATGAAGACGAAACTGGTGAAAAAACCAGGGAAACGACCCCAACGGCCGGCTAGGAAGGCGAAGCAGGTCCACTAGAACCAACATTTCCCCCTCCCATCAAGGGTAATCCAGCAAGCTCTCGCATGAGCCTTTCAGACATAGGAGGAGGAAGAGCCTCTACAAGATTGATCTCCCGGTGGCAAAACTAACCCTGATAGTGACCACACAAGGCCATATCCAAAGAAATCTCGGCTTCAACACATGTGAAAACAAACGCCAAAAATAAGATCTCACAAGCCAACAAGATACCATATTCTCATTCTTTTTTCAAAACACGGGGGGGGGGGGGGGGGGGAGAAGGAGATGAGTTAATACCGCATCTCACGACGAACATTTGTGACATCTTCCCGCGAGCCCTCTAGGTGGCACTCAAACCGGCCGCTGCAAGAACGAAATCTTCCTAGTTCTTCCCAACGATAGTGATGTTTCCCAGGCGCTTGCCAAGAGTCAGATTACTCCCAAAGAACTTGGGAAGATGGTCTGAAAAGTCTCGATTTCTATGAAACGCGCGCCACACAAGGTTTTGGTTAACCCAAAGCCACTATTGTTGACAAATTTTCTTTGGAGCATCTTGTTCAGAAATAAATTGATGAATGCCCCTTCTCTTCGCTAAAGTGGGGAATCCGGAATTTGTAGTCGAACAGAAAAAGTAACTGAAAACCCAAAAAGTTGGTACATAACCCAGAGACCGAAAAATCAGTTCAAAACATACGATCTTATTGACAGCGTTGGGGGTTAACTCGTCAACGGAGAAGCCATAGTGATGCACAATCATGTCAAAGAAATTTGATGTCGGCAAGCGCAACCCCGCTTCGAACAGAGGGATCGAAACGCCCACTATCCCTTGGGGACAGTTGTAAATCGATGCCCCCTTTGCTGGAATCATTACAGCATGCTCCAGCTAGAAACCGAAACAGTCTTGCAGAAATTTGAACTCCTCAGCAGTAGGGACTCTACCGTAGCGGTCCATTATTGAGAAAAAATGAGCGATCAAAAAGAAAAATTCTCAAAATTCCCGGGTTGATACAACGAAAGTGAAGAAAGGAGGTAAAGATGAAAGGTCTTGGAAAAGCGGGGGGGGGGGTAAAGAAAAATCGGCATCACGAACCATCTCACAATGGAACTGACACACATTTATGGTGTCGTTTAAAGCCTGTCAAATGTCGGGGATAATCCCAATCATACACATGTTGAAATATAGGTTTAAACGGTGACGATGTCAAGCCGACGCATACACCTACAATCCTAACAGAGTCATTAATGTATTCCTCAGGGAGAACATCAAAAAAGGAGAAGTCAAACTAACATTGGGCTTGGCTTGGTTAGAACCTAATCTAAAGTCAAGTCCGAGCCTTCGCCAATGCGAAGATCACCGGTACGGTGGTCAAGGTGCAGAGTCGCGCCTTAACCTCTTCTCCAAGAGGTTACATCCAGGTAATTGTGGGACCAATTAGATAGTTCCACTTGCCCATTAGACGATAGCCATAATCTTCATAACAATTAAAAGATCTCCTTCTATCCAATGAGGGAATGAGGCAAAAGATGTGACGAAAGACCCTACAATATAGGTCCGCCACGTCGCACCTCACAAGAGATGCCTCAACAAAATTAGTTGAGGAACGTGTTTCTCAAACAGGTATAAAAGGATCCTTCTTCCTCACGAAGAAGGGGATGGAATTCTCTTTTACCTGTAATCTACTATAATCTCTCAGATTTCATACTGACTTGATCGTCAGAGCTTCGTCCCGGGATCTCCTCCTGGACGTCGACCAACGGTTATATCTCTCTTTTGCACTGTGATATCAGGAGAAGAAATATGCACAGATCTCACCTACAATCCCGAATCAACCATCTCCAACATATCATAACACTTGGGGTTAAGGTGTTTAAATAGGGTGCAAACCCCATGAATTAGGGTTTCATATCTACCATCCTACTCGTCGAGTTGAGGCCTCCCAACTCGTCGAGTAGGTCACTTAAAATGTGCGGCCTTTATCATCTCTACTCAAGGAGTTTGGGGCTCAAAACTCGTCGAGTTTCTCTTATAAAACAGAATAATTTATAAATTAATACTAGGAACTAGGCATTACACTTTCCATGGATATAAAGTTCGATGGAAATGGACCTAAGACGAGGAAGTTAAGGCAATTTAAAACAATTGGCAGAATTGGTCCTTAACGGAAAAAGCTTGCAATTCAGTCCCATAAGTGCATGGAGGAAGGCACATGTCTGGGTGAGTATGCCCATCATAAGCTGGGGGTATCCCTATCGCAATGAGCAAAGTACCAAACCCTAATTTTTAGGGTTTTGGCACTATTTAATCATCCTTATGAGCTCGAGGCTCTTTCACTTCTCAGCCTCCAATGTCCTTGAGACCCAATTCTAAAACCCTAACCCTCCCAAGAGTGTTGTGAGCTTATTTTTGTGCCTTTGGTGTATTTTGGTGCATATTCTTCAAGAAGTGGAAGCTTGGTGTAAGGTGGTGTATCAAGGGAGGACTTATGGATCTAGACTATCTTCTTCATCTCCAGCTCATTAGAGGTATAAAGCTCAAACCTTGCTCATTTGAATCTTAGATCTATCATTATATGAGTTTTCGTCCCATTTTGGTCTCATGGGTGAGATCTAGTGGTTTGACACCACTCCAGGAGCTTTGAGTTGCTACTCTTGGTATTTCTAAGGTTATTAGTCCATAAAAATGCTTGTTTGATGCTTGAGAGTGGCCCATGTATGATCTAGTTGGAATAGAGTGAGTCTTAATTGATTAAGTTGGTTGTTGGGTCCCTTATAGTCATGCAAATTCATAAAGGTACCGAATTTATGCATTAAGAGCTTTATTTTTGTGTTCACTGAAGTTTGGGTGGAAAGGGATTAAGTGGTTAAGTCAGAATCGATTTTTGGATTAAGCCAGGTTACGCCCCGCGTAACTGGCTGTATGCCCATCGTAATTTGGAGTCGCAACCATGGTTCTGTTGGATTAGTGTCTAAGCCCATAACCATATTTGGTAAGTACTTGACCCGATTGTGCATGGTCATTTTGGGTTGCCTTCACCAAAGCAACTTGACTAGAGAAATAATAGAGAAAGAGGTTATTATGATTTATTAATATATTATAAGAATAATATATTAAAGGAGAAATCATATTTGTTTAATTAATATTGGTCAATAATTGATTAAGAATTAATTCTGTGACCAAATGTAATTAATTAAACTAGAGGGGCTGAATTGTAATTATGCGATAGTTGCAAATTAGGGCATTGGATGCCCCTAGGATAGGGTGGACGAATTCAAGGTGATAAGGCCTTAGAATTCGTCCATGATAAGGATTCATGGCTTATCTTATGGGCTGCTTGGTGGGCAAGTAGCCAGATAAGGATAAGGACTGAAACCCTAATCTCTACCCTATATAAAGACCCCTTAGGCCTTAGAAAATTGGAACTTGATTCCTAGAAGACCTAGAGCCAATTTTTGCCTCTCCCCCCCCCCCCTCTCTCTCTTGCCTCTCCATTTGCTTGTGGTGTTTGTGAGCCATTAGAGGTACTACACTTGTGGTACTTGCTTTCCAAGACAAAGAGATTGAAGATTTGTGTTGTTATTACTATATAACAACAAGAGGTATGTAATCCCTTCTACTACATAGATTTCTAAATACCTAGGTGCATGCTAGGGTTCTTCTTGTGTTCATAAAGTTGTGTATCTAATAGATAACACATAGATCCAAATCTAGGGTTGCATGCACACATAGGATTGTTTGTATAAAACTCATCAGTGGTATCAGAGTCTGGTTAAATTGTTTTCAATTAGAATTATACAATTTGACACTTTAGGGTTTATGGCCAATACACCCTAGGAGGTAAGATTTCGAAATTAGGGTTCTTGAAACCCTGTTTTCGAAAATTGATAAGGTTTTTGAAACCCTTTCCTTAGTGCCCATGATTTTGAAATCTAGGATTTGCAAACCCTAGGATTTTCGAAATATGCCTCCTCCCCAAGATAAGATCCTAAATTTTAGGGATTCGAATAATCCCATATCTTGTAATTATCCTTTAATGGTTAAATATGGTAATTAAAGATTTTGAATTATCCCATCCTCTGATTTTCGAAATCTAGAGGGATTTAAGGGATTAGGATAAAACTAATTGTTTAATTTAAGATAATCCTTTATGATTTAGTAATTCAAAGTAATTGTTTAATTTAGATAATTATTAAATCAAGAGTTTTAGTATTTAAAATTTTAATTTAAAGGTTATAAATTTCGAAAATTTTAAATTGAAGTTAAAACCCTAATATTTTAAAATGTTTAAAATAGACCCTATACTATTATATTATTACAAGATTAATATATATATATATATATAATATATATATATATATATATATATATATAAAAATGCTAGTCTTACCGTTAGTAGGCCTCATTCACGAAGTCGATCTATAAGGGGGGGGGGGGGGTATAAGGTTGTGGCTTATAAAATGGTCATTTAATGGGTATCCACTCTTACCCACCACTTCCTTGATTGGTGGAGGGTCGTTACCCGAACGGGTAGGATAGGGCAATCCTCTCTTCATTAATAAGTATAATGAACCTATATAAAGTAACTAAACGTTTTTACAAAATTCCCAATCCTAGTTACTTTAGGCAAAAGTGAATTGATGCAATCCCATGAAATTACACTTTGCACCCTTTCTAAGAAGTTAGTGGAGCGTGTGTGGTTAACTGGGACACTAATTGGTTCTAAGAAAAGGTGGCAAAGGGTGACTCATTGTTTGTCATAGTTCGATGGAGTGTGTGTGGTTAACCGACACATCGAATAGGTGACTGTAACAAAGAGGGCACCATGTACATTTGCATCTTTATTCACACCCACTTTGTGATCCTCGGATTCCCAGTCACAAACAAGAGGGGCATATCGAGATTTAAACATGCAATTGAAAAGTTCAATGCATCTCAAAAGGAATCTAGGAACTATCAATACATTTAAAACCTAAGCCTTTATGTTTTTCATGGTGAAGAATTAGTGAATCGATATTCACTTACCTCCAAGTTATTTGCATGTTGGATTACGGCATCCCTTTTCTAATATGTAAATAATGTTGTTAGATCCTAGCCCTAATTTCTCATTTTGGGTGTTTAATTAGGGATTCAATTCTAATCAAACTTTGTTCCTTTCTATTTGCATATGTCTAACGCAAACGCCAACAACGTTGTTGCTGGTTCATTCTCGCTAATAAGCCTATGTCAAAAGGTGACATTTGACGGATCGAATTTCAACGAATGGATACGATACATTCGCATGATTGCTTTCTACAAGGATAAATAATATGTCCTCAACGAGAAGCTTGAAAAGATCAATCCGTAAATCGCTACTCCTGAAGAAATGGTCGTCTTTGAGGCCCATGAGCGTGATGCAACGAAGGTTCATTGCATTATGCTGGCCACTATGAACCTTGAACTCCAAAAGTCCTATGAGGACATGTATCCCTATGAAATGCACCAAGATTTTCTGGAGAGGTACGACCAAAGCGCAAGGCAAGAGCGCTATGAGATCATCACCAACATGATCACCACTAAGATGGGGAGTGGAGAGTCCCTAACCTCGCATTTGCAGAAGATGCAGAGGTATGTTGATCGTCTTTGCAAGTTAAATGTTAACTTTGGGGAAGATTTGGCTATCGACATCATTCTCCACTCTTTGCCCTCGTGATACAACCAATTTAGGATGACCTACCACATGAACAAAGAAGAGGTCACCTGAAGCAAACTCCAAGGACTCATAAGCACTGCTGAGAGCAACCTCAAGGACAAGTTTTTTGCATCAACTCCCACTCCACCTGTTGCTCCTGTTTTGGCCATTAGGAAAGGGAATGGCAAGAAGAGGAAGGCTC